TGTCATGAATTTCCGTTTTCAGTGAGACTTATATTCACAAGTATAACAGGATAGTCGGAAGAGTAAGACATGATTTTACCCTTTAAATGATCCGGATCGTGAAAAGTGACCATTACATGCAGTCAAAAGTTTGGAATAAATCAGATATTGTGATGTTTCTGAAAGAAGTCTCTTCTGCTCACCAGGGCTGCAGGCTTTCAGGATTCACAGATGAATAGAACGTTCAAAAGAACAGCATTTATTTGAAATGAAATCTTTTGTGTTACATTATAACCGTCTTTATTGTCACTTTTGACCAATTTAATGTGTCCTTGATGAGTAAAAGTGTTTTTTTTATTCTTACTGACCCCAAACTGTTACATTTTTCCACCAAAAAAAAATCGCAATGTTACTGTATTTACTGTATTTTTATCAATTCAATGCAGCCTTGGTGAGCAACAGTGGCTTCTTTTCAAAAACAATACCATCTCTGATCATGTTAACCAGGAGCTGTTTGACTAAAAGTACAGTTTGTTTTCTATGTAATAAGGTTCACCAATCATCAGTCACAACAAGGCCAAGAGCTGAGTTTTCTCTCACGTCGACTGTCTGTTGTGATTTCCAGGGTCAGGATGAAGTTGACGGTTCTGATAGTTTTGCTGCTAAACGCTGGACCTACAGAGTTCTGCTGGAGCTCATCCACTGGACTGATTCTGCCTCTCAAACCCTTCACTTATTCCACAGCGAGAAACACGGCCAGCAGCAGCAGCAGCTCCTCTAGACGCCCAACGCGCGGTTTTCCTGAACTAAACACCATATTCAGTGGGAATCAGTATTGTTAGTTGAGGACCACGTTTAGTGCAGGAAACTAGCGCAGATCCTCCAACGCATTGATATGCTCAGATGAGATTCTGTGCCTCTACGGTCTTGATATTGTGTGAAAAACAGATCTATAATGATACGCTGTGCTCTTGAGGTCTAATATGGTAGCGCTCGACTGGACTGAACCATTAGGGCTCTTCTGTGAAATACATCACGGGCTTCACACACGCTTCAGCCTCGGTTACACTCGTGTTAGTTGATTTTACCATTGGTGTCAAAAGAAACGTAGACTTTTACACATCAGCACTGAGTCCTTCACTCTCTCATCATTTACTCTCAGCCCAAACCCATGGGACAACGCAAACCTCACGCTCTGAAGGATTTTCACTCTCAAACAGTGACCGCAGACAGTGAACATAAGCTGTCCAGCATCACAATGCATCAAAAATAGTTGCATCTTGACTCAATGAATCTTAATGCACGAACAAAGACATGAGATCACATATATGACATTTCACAGATATACGGCAGAAAACAGGTTTATGGTCACTGTATGCTTTTACTGTTTGATAAAGAGCAGTGTGAACATTTCCGCTATGGAATATAAAATAAAATGAGCATTTTTATCTCACAATTCTGAGTTTATATTTGACTTTTTGTCTTGCAATTCTGAGAACTGTGAGATATAAACTCAGAATTTTAAGGAAAAAGTCAGAATTGTGATATAGAACGTCGCAATTACCTTTTTTATTTTTTATTCCAAGGCAAAACACTAAAATTTGAATTGTAAGATATAAACTAAGAATTATGAAAAAAAGGCATTTTGAATTGTAAGAAGAAAGTCAGCTTCCAGATATAAATCCAGAATTCTATGAAAAAAGTCTGAATTGTGATACTCAGAATTATGAGAGAAAAAAATCTGAATTGTGATATTAAAATTTGCAATTACTTTCATTAATATATTTTTTTTCAAGGCATATAAATATATTAAAAAGTATTTAGAAAAGAAAGTCAGAATTGCCAGATGTAAACTCAGACAGAGAGCCAGATTTCTGAATTTATATCTTGCAATTCTACGTTTATTATTATTATTATAACAAACTAACGTTTGCCGTTTAGTTTTTCAGGTTAGATATAAAGATGATAATAGTTGCACATACATGAAAGTGATGATAAAACGACAAGTGTGAAAGCCCCAGAACATATAGGTAAGTTAGTGAGCCACTAGTGATCAAACGCAGCTTAATGACCTGCAAAACAAACCGACTAACCTCCTTACTGTACTAACAGATGATGCAGCAAACCGCCTGTGAATTACTGTATGATTGAACTCAGATTTCATTGTGAACTAAATCAAAATCAAAGGCATTACTGAATAGTGAAGATAAGTGTTATTTTTAGACTGTAGTCTATTGACTAACAACCAAAAATCTGACATATTAATATATTAATGTCTTTATTTATTCATTTTTACCGAGATGTCATGTAAATGTAACACTGTGATGCATTTCTTTGCTATTAATAAACCAGCGTAGCTCCTGACGACTAACTCTTGAGGCTGTGAACTCTATGCACTGTTTGTCGTCTGAACGTCACTCTGTGCTGGGTTTATCTGTGAGACACACACACACTAACCATGCTTTGCAGCAGAATGTTCTGCTCATATTCCTCACATTCTCTATTTTGTTATATTATTGATCACAGTATCATGTATATGTCTATATTAATCAATAAATTATGGGATGAAACTTAAAGCGTGTTCTCTGTATTATGTAAGAATTCTCTGGGGAGCTGCTGTGTGTGTGTGTGAGAGAGAGAGTGTGAATGTGTGTGTGTGAGTGTGTGTGTGTATGTGTGTGTGAGAGAGTGTGAGTGTGAGAGTGTGTGTGTGTGTGTGAGAGTGAGAGTGTGTGTATGTGTGAGAGAGTGTGAGTGTGTGTGTATGTGAGAGAGAGTGAGTGTGTGTGTGAGAGAGAGTGTATGTGTGTGTGAGAGTGTGAGTGTGTGTGTGTATGTGTGTGTGAGAGTGTGAGTGTGTGTGAGAGTGTGTCTGTGTGTGTGTGTGTG